CGGCCGGCGCGGCTATTTTGATTAGGCCTCCGGCATCCGAGGTCTGCGCCCCCGCAACTGCCGCCGGCGACCAACGGGGAAGGGCCGGGCTGGGGCCGGCTTATTCGGCAGGCAGGCGCTATGTTGTGTGCTGATAAGTGTGGCGGACATGGCCGGCGTCTGTGCCATGCAGGCCAACTCTAACTGCTCTGGCGCGCACCGGCCGTAGCTGGAGCGGGGCCACTGTTCGCTCAGGCGACAGCGCGGCGGACGGGGTGCCAGCTAAGCACAACCCCTGCCACCCCTACCAGGCGCCTGCACAACGCACACGCCCGAACCCCTTTGGGGGGCCTTCTCGCGCCCATTTGCTTCCGCCTGCATCTCTGCGCGGAACGACTCCAGCATCCGCCTTCCGCATTCTCGTCCGCCACGCCCTGCACATTTCACCGCCCCGCGCCCTCCAGGCCTCCATATCCCGAACCCCCGCCGTCGCCATCGCCGCCGTGAGCAATAGCCGCGCCGTGCAAAGACCGCGCGCGCCTCCGGCGTTCTTGGCATGCGCTGCGATTGGCCAGCAAGTCGGCCCCTTGCGGCCAGCTTTCTGGTTCCCGGGAGCGGCGCGCCCAATTGTCGGCGAGATCAGCGCCACCCTATGAGGATATTCCCACGATACCAGCGGGCCCGATCACGCCGCCGGCGCAGACACTGCCAACAAAACAAGTCCGCTCTCGTGCCGTCACGGCGCTGGCGTCGTGCTCGCGGTCGTCGTACTCGCGCGCAGGGGGACGGTGAGCACGGCGGGCAGAGACACGCGGGATCTAACTGAGGGCCTGCGAAGGATCGGGGGCAGATGCCTCAGCACCCGTGCGGGGTTCAAGTCGGCTTGCTAATTGCGTGGGCCGGGGATCCAGGATCTCAATTGGCAAACCACGCGGCAGCGGCGTCCTCGGGCAGTCGTCGCACTCGCGGCTGATTGTCGCACCTTGCCTCTCTCCCAAGCGTGCCCCACTCGATGAGCCCGTCTGCAGGCGCACAGACGGCCGGACGTCGCGGAGTTCGAATGCCACCTCGCCCGCCCGCGCGCCACAGGGAGAGTGTCCGTCTCCGTCTGAAAGGGCTGAGCACATGCTGCAGACCATCCCTTCCCTTCCCTCGCACGTTTGCTCGCGCCATCCAAACGCGCCATCCCCAATCTCAATGTCCTGGCCCAAGACAAAGGGCACGGCTGTACGCCCAATATAGGCACAGCATGGCTTATCGTCTATCGTCTGTCGTCTATCACTTTCAATGTCTACCAGCGACTAACTGAACGCCTGCAGCTGCGGCTGCTGTTCCTGCCAGATCTGCTCCTCACCGTGCACGTGCCGGGTCACGGATGGCTCACTAGTTGGCTAGCGCGGGACGAAGAGTTTGAGGTATAGACAGACTCTGGCTTGTGGCTGCATCAACGGGTGCTGGTGCAGCAAGGCGCCGAGATAGACACGCAGAATGGGTATGTCGCAAGTCGAAGCGGTGTGGTTGTCAATGTCAGGATGGGAGAGAGCGGGACGAGTGCGCGGACATGTTTGAAACAAGGGATGGGCCGCGATTCGTCCGCGCGGTGATTTGTCGATGATGGTGTGGCGCCAGAAGAGGCCCATCGCAGAGAAGTGGTCGTCGGGCAGCGTCTTAGCGCTGTGAGTGGGCGAGTGGGACAGGAGCGACTTGCACTCCATCCCGCGACACTCGTCCCGGGACACCGGCGGTCGACGGCAGCGCATATTCAACTGCGTCCCTGCTCCGCGAACCACGGCCGTCGGCTCACGGACATCGGTGTCTCGACATCTCGTCCACCGCCAGCCATCTCCGAGCCCAGAGCTGCTCCATCCATCTCGACATTTCGCCGTTGCCGCCTGCGTCCGGTCGGCAACTCACCGCTGGGCAAGATAGGCACACAGATCCCGCGGCTCTCCCCCGCAGACCCCACATGCCAGTGAACGTCCGCGTTCGCACTAGGCAAGCGACCATCCAAATGGGACGACAACGGTTCACATTATTTCATCCCCCGGAAATGATCGAGCCCTGCGTTGGAATCACCGAGCGCACTCCACGGGCATAATTTGGTATCCATTTTGTCGCCTTAGAGTGGAAATTGGATACATAATGTCGTGGGATTCGCTGTGCTTTTGCCTTATCCTACCCATAGCCGCGAACGCAATTTCGCATTGGTCTCCTTCATATCCACCATTCGTCATCATTATATAGTACACACCTGTTTTGGGGGGGATGTGTTGCCTAAATAGGAAACAAATGCCTGTAGCTGTCACACTGACTTCACAAAAATCGAATAGTGAAGTCACCAACATGAGCAGTGTCGGCTGTGAAACAGTCTCCATATCATGCGAGGTCTAGTGCCAGCGTCCAGCGCACTTCGAGTGATAATTGTTGATCTCTTTATTTACTTACTATAAGTAATACTGCCGCGCAACATTTCCAATGCTTTCCGTATATGGTAACGCCGCTGCGCCTACAGCCCCATACAGACTCAGACCGAGGGTAAGCACTATCGCAATATCTCACAAAACCCGAGCCGCATGTATTGGCAATAAGGCCAGAGATGATTTATGTATTTATAAGTGAACAAGACATGAACTCACCTGTGTGCAACTGTCAATAACCAGCAACATGGTGACACATGCTTATTGTAGGTAAGATGTGGGCTCATCTGCGCACGGATTGCTCATCGCTGATCTACATACAACACCATGTCATGAGAATCCCATGCATTGTAAAATATGTCAAATTTAGCTCCATCATGCTACCTAATGTGGTATAGTAAGGGAAAGGGGGGGCAAGCAGGGCAACACGTGAGAATGAATCAACTGCAAGGGCCATAGATTAGAACTCACTTGTTGAATGCGCCTTGGGCAGCGCACATGCTGGCCGAGTCTTGAATGTATGCAGTCATGTGACTGCAACCCGTGTGTTGATGATTCTGAGTCCCATCTTCTTTTCTTCCTCCTACCTTGTGATATCCCTTTGCATATCACTTCTCCACCCACACTTACAAGCAAGAATTATACTTGGTCTGCTCAGCACTTCAACTCTGGGATGCACCTTTTCTGACATATTCTCTATAGGCTATGTTCTTTGCATTCATCGACTCACTGACATTCTTGCTTGTGAGTACTGCTACCTATATCAGAGATCTTGCAAGTCCCTGGAATGCCACGGACAAGCTCACAACAGCCAGTCTAGCTTCAAGTGTATGTGTCTATATTGTAAATAAAATGCTTGATGTTGTACTTGTATCATTATTTTATTCCTTTGCACTGAGCTCAATGCCTGGCCTGAACCCAAATGCAAATGATGAAGTCATATG